CATCAAAAACGTCAACTGGAAACAAATTAAAAGTACCGATAAAAACATTGTTTAAATATGTGATATCATAATTTGAAGCTTGGCAGCAGGTAGAGCACTTCCTGTTGTCCAGCCATTTTAACCCTCGTAACAAAAATTAGCATACTTATAAGCACAGGGATATACATGTATGTACATATATTGGTATTTGAAGGGGGATTCGAGTAAATTTGATTATCTAACCTGAATTAAAAAACAAAATTTTGCAAAGTTTGATGAGTAAAAACCAGGCTTGACTATGCCCTGGTTTGTTTGATCATGGATGTACTATGATTTGATTACAAGCTACATTAAGACCAAACCAAGGATGTCCATCTTTCATTTTGTCGGTTCATTCTTGGTCTCTCCAAACTCACACCAAAAATGGCTGTTTATGGTGAGCTAGGAAGGTACCCAATTGACTGTTTTATCAAGAAACAACGTATATATATATTCAACCGAGTAACAAACTCTGATAACATATTATTAAGAGAAGCCTACTTAGTAAATAAGAATGTAAAAAGTAAATGGTTTACAAGTGTAGAAACCCTCATGCAAGATATTGATGTTATTACCATTGTAAACTCAAGATAAATAAGAAAAATTTAGCCTTTATTCATAAAAAAATAAAAAAATCATTTGGATTTTTTACATGCATAATGATAATAGAAAACAAACCTTGGCTAAAACAAACTAAGAACATACAGACTTTTTAAACAAGATTTAAAAATTGAAAATTACTTAATGAATATGCAGAACCATGGTCTTAGGAGGTTAATTGCAAAATTCAGGACAAGCAACCATGAGCTTAAAATTGAGAAAGGCAGACATAATAATGTGCCACGTACTGGATAAAAGAACATGTGATTTGTGCAGTCAAAATATAATTGAGGATGAGTAGCATTTTGTAATGAAATGTACAGCCCACCATACTCTAGCACCAGCCTTAGCTGTCTTCCTAAAAAACAGCTATGGAACAAAACAGCAACAACTATCAGCTCAGGTTGACTCTGAGGAAGCTCAGGTTGAAGCTCAAGTTGAAGCTCAGGGTGGAGCTCAAGTTGAAGCTCAGGGTGAAGCTCAGGGTGGAGCTCAGGTTGACTCTGAGCAAGCTCAGGTTGAAGCTCAAGATTGCCATTACATACCTCCCTACTTCTGTACAATTTCTATATTAGAGGACATGTTTGCCTAAATAACTACAACTTTTCAAATATTCCCAAAATTGAGTGGGTACCATATTGGCTCTATTAGTAAATTACAGTGTTTTTAATAAATTATTAAATAATAAAATGTTATATAACTTTTCTTCCTGGTATCGATTTCAAGTAATCACTGATTTTTGTTTATACCACTTTTTCTTTTGTCACATGCTAATGTTATATGCAAATTTTAACGCGCGATGTAGACACATCCTATTATAGTAAAATATCCCAAGGGTTGAAACGTGCCAGAACAGTGGCATGAGCACAACCGTAAAACGGGTGGGCATTTAATTTATTCAAGAATAAATTAAAGAAGAAATGCTGTGCGCAAAATTTAAATCCGGCGAGTGTAATCTCTGATGCAACGCAACTTCAATGAATCAGTGACTCTTCTGTAAAATGGTTTCTACTTGATAATACATATAATTTTCTACGGTAGTCTAAATAAAAGCTTTGCGTCGTCACACAAGATTATCCAGCATAACCTTTAACCTTTAAAAATCCGATATGTTTCATGGGAAAATTGTTTACTTCTGATCATGTGACAACAATATACAAGTCATTCTTTGCGATAGAGGTCAAAGATCGCAACATCCGGTTTCCGGCTTTACGATTGTGCTCCTGCCATGTCGCTCGATCGCAATGAGTTTTAATTTGACAAATATTCAAGTGCAAATGCAATTGTGTAACTTTCTAAAGCCATCCATGTCATTACAGATGCCATATATGTAAAGAAAACAAACTTTGAAAGGTTCAAATGCGTGATTTGATGCCACAGTCCTGGTGCGTTTCAACCCTTGGGATATTTTACTATAATAGGGTGTGTCTACATCGCGCATTAACATTTGCATACAACATTAGCGCGTAACTAAGATTTTGATAAAGGAAAGAGTGGTATAAACAAAGATCAGTGATTACTTGATACCAGGAAAGGGGGGGGGGGAGGTAAAAGAAAAGTTATATAACATTTTATTATTTAATAATTTATTAAAATACACAAGTTTGTCCAACTCCCTGTGGTGTTTCTATGGTCAAAATAAGTAATATTTTAATCATTCAATATACAACAAATGTAATTTTTGGTTTATACATGCATGTGCTGAGATGAGCTTCTAAATAATAAGGAAATAATTGTTTTACTCTAACAATAGAAATACTCCACTTGAAAGGTGAAATTATGTTTACAGTTTTTGTAAATGCAATGTCTATTTGTGATTTGTTATAAACAGAAATGACAAAATGGAAAAGTAAGTACCATAAAAACTCTAAAATTTCGACCGGTTTTTAAATTATTTGTGTTGGAAATCTGACATGTTTTTAAAGTCAAAATTAAGGTGCATTTTCGAACCATCGAATTTTTCATAATAGAAATCGGC